GAAGGGCGGTTTGCTGGCCCCGTGGAGCGCGGTAACCGCCCCCGGGCTGCGCCCCGGCAGTGCTCGGCGCTGCCGGATGGGGCTCGGGCTGCTGGGCTGCTCACTGGGGACAGCAGAGGGAAGTGCAGTGGGAAAACTCGGTAGGTGGAATTAAGGTAGAACAAGAGTAACTTCTGGTGCATCATTGCTTATGAGACAGGGGGTGTGAATAGCCCAGAAACATCCACTCCTGGGTTGCTGCATGTTACAGGGGGAATGTGCTCGGTACATCAGAGAAGATCAGACACAATCAGTGCTTGTGTGTTGGCTGCAGGTATCGATGCTTTGCACTTTCAGTATAATTCCTTCTGACAACAAGAACGCTGACTGTAAAGGAGTAAAGTTTCACAAAAGATTGCTTTGCTTCATCTCTCAGATCTTTGGCCACCAAATAAACTGTTCAGCATAGCTTTGGGTTTGGTGTTTGAGAACTGAATCTGAGGAATATCCTTTGGCGTGGCTGAAAAATTTCCCTGTAATGTGACATCTGGTCGTGGTCACTCATCAGATCACATCTTCATCCTTCCCTGCTAAGAAGTGTGTCAAGAGGACAGTGAGAAAGTAAGCGGCTACTTAGAGAGGGAGGAGGATGTAAAATTCCTGTTGGGAGCTTTTAATTGGGTAACTTCAATGGTGACCTGTATCAAATATGTTTTTTAAAAGATTTTTTGGTCTTCAGTTTATGGCTCTAAAATGTAATTTCTGTTAGTCAGGTTGATGGCAAATCAGTTAATGATTTGCATCATTAATAACAAACATCAATGCAATATTATTTCCCCCCGCAAAAAAAAAAAGCAAAACAAAACAAACAAAAAACCCCAAAATACCAACAAAATACAAACCAACCAAAAAACCTTGTTTGCTGCCATGCAAAGAAAAAGTTTCAGATTTTATTAGAGCTGAGTTACGGATACAGAATAAAATGGAAGTAAAAGTGCAGCTGTTGGAGCAGAGGAATTATTATTGCATTACCATTTTCTCTAGTCTTACACCAAAATGGTTGCTGCATTAATGCAGACCTGTTTTCAGTCCATTTTTAAATGGAAAACAAAATATGAACATTGACTTAGGTCATAAAAATGGTGCCTGTTTGGCATTGTAGGCATTCTCTTCTGCAGCTTCTTCAGATTCTTAAGTTATAGGTCATTTTAGAGCTTAATATAAGAACACACAGCATCTTGTATTTTCTTCATTGGTCTTTTAAAGGTACCACTTTACAAGTGTTGTCACCTGATCCTGAAGACAATGTTAGTTGAATTAGTGAAGTACAAAATAAGAACATTAATCTTCAATGCATGTAGCTTGTCCTGCCTGTGCACCTTATAACATTGCATGCAACTATGCCAGGTCTCATAAGCTGATCTTGTCTCAAGTCAATGATCCTGGATGTGGAGTGGAGCCAGCATTGTGCACATAAGCTGTGTGTATATATCTATATATCTACCTATAAAACAGCCCAACAGTTTTTGCCTTCAAAGACTACCACCTACTTCCTTTTGTAACGGAGCCTTCTTGCATCCAGCTTCTGCTACAGCAGCAGCATCTGAACAGGACTTGGCTCACACGAGTGCTGATAGGTACCTGTGGAGTTGTTAGCTGTTTCTTTCCTGCTTGGAGTACCCTTGCTAAGTGCCTGTTCCTGGCTCTTGTGACCCTGACCTGATGCGCACTGAAGCGAGCTGTGAGACCTGCAGGGTGCTCAGCAGAACCTGGATTGGGCCCTGTCACCCACTTCCAGCAGATAGTTTGATGTCTGGTCTTAAGCGGATGGAGATCAGTGGCTTTGCTGAATCAGAAAGAGTTTGATGGACTGACACTGTCATCCAGGCTCATCATACAGTGACAACTCATTAGAGTTGGCGACTCAAGTCCAGATATTTCTGTATTTCAGTGGGCTTGGAGCAAGAAAGACCTCTCCCAGGGGATACCCCCTCGGCACCCCAAAAAGCTCACATCTAGTAACCTGCTCGAAACCTTTCCTAGGGGAGCATCAAATCTGCCTTCTTCTAAAGCTCTCAGTTTAAAATGAAACTAATTTCGTTATTTTATTAGGCACGTTACCTTCTTAATATGAAAGGTAAATGGGAATGTTTTGGTAACAAATAGCCCAAATCTGTTTTTTATTTTTAACTTTAGCTATTATAGATATAAATACCTCTTCAGCATTACCCATTTTAAAGAGGCTAAAGCTGGGAGTCTGTAAAAGGAAATCAGTGGATCTGCTGCATTTTGATTGTATTTTATTTTTGCTCTTTCCGTTCCTGAAAATGTCACCAGATAGTCATATCTTTCAAAGCTGCATCAGATAAAAAAATAATTCTAAATAACAATAATGTGCCTTCATTGTTCCTCTCCTCTTTCTCACTGGCTTCTTTAGAAACCTCCCTGCTTTTGTTTGATTTTGCAGGGTTTGAAGACATAAGAGACACAGCCCCTGCTCCTAAGCTTTGTCTTTTTTCTTTACTTTGCATTTTCCACCTTCTTAATTGTTTTGTTACAATCTCTTTTTATGGTCTGGCTACGTGTAGCTGAGAATATGATCTGTGATACCCACAGATTTCCACACAGTCACAAGTCTGATCACTACTAATGTACAAACCCGTGTAGTCCTACAGTGTGGATGCCTGAGAATTTCTGGTGTGTGATTTGGGTGATTTTGATAAGGGTTTAGTGTGTGAGTTAGGGGACCTGACAGATGGAATAGCTTGGCTGTGAATTAGCAGAGTGGGACTGTCTCTATGTTAACTCCTTAGATTTTGGCTCCTGTTGCTGTGAAGGCAGTACTTTACAGGCAACAGTTTTTCAGTTCTGATCTACTAAATTCTGTTCCATCTTTTCCTATCTATATCCAGCAGGTTTCAGATTATTCCCTTTACCAATCTTTGTTTTAATATCAAGTATTTTGTTCAACTTGCTACTTCTGTGGACATCTTCTAGCTCCTCCCTTCCCTCTCCCCAGATACTACTGCTAATTATAAACTGTTATTTGAAAACATTTTCTGCATCCTGGAGAATGATTAAAGATGTCTATAAAATCATTCAACTGAAAAAAATAAACCTCAATATTTCATCCACAGCTTTCCCCAATGCTGTGTGTGCCTAACTTTATGCCTGTTATTGGTAATGATTTAAGTGGCACCATTCCTTCTGGGGTTGATCAAAGCACAATGTTGCCCCAGGACAAACTGAAAGTTAAACCTTTATGGTTTTTGCACTACTAGCCATTCAAAAGAATCTTTTTGTTTGTTGGCATTTAGTTAAGTAAGTCAAACTACATGATGATTGAAGATAATAAAGAGAATGAAGACCATGCCTCTGAAAGAGGACGAACAGCCATCGTGTTTTCCTTGAAGAATGAAGTCGGAGGACTTGTGAAAGCATTAAAACTCTTTCAGGTATGTCATAATCACATTGCTACAGCAGCTCTTTTTAAATTGTACCAAAAATTTTTGAACACACTAGAATTAGTGGCATCCATTTATTAAGGATCTGGCTCCCATTTTGCACCCAAAATTACCTGTGAAGGCAAATTTTTGCCTTGGAATTGAGACGCTGGTTGGCTAAAAATCTTCATAAACCTTGTCATGTGCACTGACTAAAAACCAACAGTTTTGTCTTTTCCCCTCATGAGAAGAGAACTGGCACTCCTTGCTTCAGCTGCAGGTAAGGGGTGGGTCTGAAGCTCCTGCTGGTGACAGGCAGACGCTTGGGGTGCTGACCCACGCTGGCTGAGCCCAGTGCCCTCGTCACCCTGCCTAGGCGGGCGTGGGGGGCCAGAGGGACTGTGGTAGCACAACTGCCCTCCTTCAGGTGCTGCACGGGTGTTGTGCAAGGGGTCTCTGCAGTGCCACTGGGCTCTGCCATCTGGCCCTGCCTGGCCTGGGGTTTTCTCTCTGTTTCTGATATTATATATACAATTAAATAATTTTTCAAATAAAAGTGAAATTTATGCCCTGAAAGCTGCTGCTTTTAAATCCTTTTCTTGCTTGTGAGATAATTACATGGTGAGTTGATTGCCATTTTGGTGAATTTCCCCAGACCTAGTTGCTAATCAGTTTCCTATGGGAGGGCTGAAAGAAAAAGGTTTGTGAAATTAAACCTCCTGACTGTGTCTTTCTGTGCTTCCTGAGTGTAAATGAAATTGAAAGAACACAGGTTCTCTTTCATTTTCTTCTGAATGGGAAGGTTTTTACAACCAAACATTTCCCCCTCTCCAATAAGTAAAATACTAGCAAGAGATCCAATTAATTAAAATAGCTTCATAAAGGTGGTGAATAGTCCATGGCAGGTAGAATATTAATTTGAAGAACAAATTTTAGTGTTTAGTCAATTATTTTTAGTCAATCTATTTGAAAACTTTACTTCTTACAAAACAGGAGAAGCATGTCAATCTGGTACACATCGAGTCACGGAAGTCCAAGAGACGAAATTCTGAGTTTGAGATCTTTGTGGACTGTGACAGTAGCAGGGAACAACTGAATGAGATCTTCCAGCTCCTGAAATCCCACGTCAGCATTGTCTCTGTAACCCCGACAGAGCATTTCAGTGTCCAGGAAGATGGTAAGTACAAAAGGCAGCTCTGATGAAAGTACACTTCTCAGTGTGTTGGTTTGAAACCTTTTTCTGATGGCCACATCTGCACTGGTGGAGTGTTTTCAGCCAGGTTTCTGTGCTGTGGATGAGCATAGCAGAGCTGCCTGGGCTGCTGTCACCTAGGAGCACAGGCTGTTTTGGGCAGCTGCACGTTGCCTGTCTGTTGTCTGTGCTCCCATCCCTCCTGAGGACATCGATGGGGGTCGCTGCTCCCACACAGCCCCGCTCAGGCCGGCATGTAGACAGGAGGTCTGAGTGCAGGGCTTGGCTGGGGAGCTGCACACCGTGGTGACAGAGGTGCAGTACTGACAGACCCCGGTTCAGTGTAGGCACTGGTGAGAGTGGAATATAGATTCTGCAGTTTCTTTATGTAGCTCTTGATTTAATTTTTTTTAGTCACTTTTTGTCATAATGAGTTACTTACATTAGTGTGAAAGAGGTAACCTCGGGAGGCTTCACATCTTGTTTTCCCTTGCTTCTAGCTAAAGAGATGCCTGAAGTTTGGGCAGCAGGGAGTCAGTCGCATTTATTTCTCAGCCACTCTACTTGGTACAGGTTGGTAGATAGGGGAAAGTGAGATCCAGTGTTCTTGAATAAAAATGGCTTGCTTTAGCCCAAAGGCAGGGGGATTTCCATCTAAACACTCCCCGTGTCCTTTTTAAGAAAACAGAAGAGCATTGGGACAGAAAAACAGTGTATTAACTGCTCTGCCAAGAGCTTGGCTAAAAACTCCCTTATGCTAAAAAACCAAAGTAGTCAGTCAGTAGCAGAACTGTACTGGGTGTCTCTCTGAGGCTGCAGGGCCTCCCTCTTCCCCCACAAACACCTCAGCAACGCGGGATGCTTCTGAGGTGCACAGCCACAGAGCGGTGTTTGTTTCCCATGGTCAGTAAGGCAGGACAGGAGGACTGCAGCCTGCTCCCACTCTGCCCTGGGACCAGGCAGGGCCCTTCTCTCTCCTTCGTGTCCTTTGCACCCGAGGAGGTTCACAGCAGTGTGCACAAGGAAGCCTTGTCTCAGTGGGAGCCTCTAGATGCGACTCAAACAGCAGTAACAGCTAAGGGCCACAGAAACCCTGTATTAACTGTTTCCTCCCCTGGACACGTTGGAGCCGGCTGCGCTCCGCGGGCAGACTGTGGCACTGACAGAGGAGGAAGTGTGAGCTGTAGGCTGGTGCCAGATAGGCAGTGCACTCCCTTGTCTTATTCATGCCCTTTTAATTTATAGATTTCGTTTGTAACCGCCATAGCCATACTTGAAAGTGGCCTTTCCTGCCTCGGCATGCTCGGCGTTAATAACTGTGTGGATTCCATGTGTTCCCTAGACATGGAGAATGTTCCCTGGTTTCCAAAGAAGATCTCAGATTTGGATAAGTGTGCAAACCGAGTGCTGATGTACGGGTCCGATTTGGATGCTGACCATCCAGTAAGTATTTTTTCCTCCCTACACCTAGTCCTTAATAAAAACATCCTTTGTGGAGCTTACTTGAACAAAGTGCAGCTCGTCCCTCTTCTTCCCCTCAGCGGCACCTCTGTGGCTCTGAGAACTTTCTCTTGGGGGTTTCATGTCTTTTCACTAGTTCAAGCAAGGCTGTCACTGAATTTGGCTCCTGTGCCTTTCTGCAAGTTTTACTTGTGCAAGGACTCCAGGTCTTGGCCTTGAGTGGTCGCATACAAATTAAAAAACAAAACTGTTGTAAGATGGGCTTGGTTCCTCCTCTTTCTTCCTTACTATAATTGGAACAAACAAATTGGTACTTGGGCTATGCAAATGAGCAGTTTGTTCTGTAATTTAGAATAATCAAGCAAGTAACAAAGTTTGTATAAATACTGATACAACTAAAATGAATCATTGTCTTCAGAATATATCGTTGCATGCATAAACCTACTGATTCTTACTCTGAATTGGAGTACTTGCTTAGTTCACAGTTACTAAGCATTTCAGACTATATTTCAGAACCCTGTGAGGTTCCTGCCAAATCCTCTCCTTCTTACACAGCATACTTTTATATTTCCCAGCTGAAGAAATTTCAAGTGTCTTGCTTTAATTTATTTACTACAGCTTGGAAACTCAAATTTAACTTTGTTTTTCTCCTTCCCCCTTCCAGGGTTTCAAAGACAATGTCTATCGCAAGAGGCGAAAGTATTTTGCAGACCTGGCTATGAACTACAAACAGTAAGCTTGAATTCTTCTCAAATAAGCTTTCTGGGGGCTTTGAAATAGTAATAACAGAGAGGACTGGCAGGAGCTCACCTTCCCTGGGCTCAGATCTCACTGAGACACGCATGGCTCAGGAATCAGAGCCATGATGGGGGAAATGAAGGGAGAAGTAAGATAAGATTAAAAGGTAGGTCTGGGCCTCTGATCAGTCTGGGGCTGTGGCCGCTCGGCTGTTATGGCACCTGCAGCAGTGCTGACCCTCCTCAGGTGGGCAGTGATGCCAGCTTGGGCTTCCTGCAGCGTGGTGTGTTTGGACTCCAGGGTCCCTCCTGGCTCCTCTGGAAATGGGTGTGAAGAAGGGTGAGGGTGGACGATGCACATGGCACAGCTGCCTGGGCAGGACCTGCCGACTCGACTAGGGCAGGTCGGTCTCTGTTGTGAAGGAAAGGGAGGGGAGGCAAAACCCAGTATGTAAGCCATTGACCACCCAGTGTATACTCTCTGGACAAATGTTAATACTTCAGTTTTCTTTCCTGCTTCAAACTAGTGCATGTGATGTGTAGATAAGAAGTTTTCTGTGAAAAGAAACTTGAAGAGCTTCTGTCTTTAGAAATGCTGCCTGGGGGGAGGGAGCTCTTAAAGCAGTAAGAACTTCATAGCCCAGCTCTGTAAATTCTTTCTAAAGATGATTTTCACGTTGCTGTTGCCTGCTTGAATTTAGATGCCAAGTTCCTCAGTTGGAAATGACCTAGAAATGGTGAGTGTCTGGAGCTCCTCTGCACTGTGCAGTAGTGCAGCTGGTCACCACAGCACAGAGCTGGTCACTGTTCATGTGCTGTTGATGGAGATTCCCTTGGGAAAGCATTTGCTGTGCTGGTTCCCTGGCTGGCAGTGGACACTCAGTGTGGCACTCCCAGTGCTTTCAGTGGGCTCTAGGTCACACCCGTTAATCGAGATGCTGAGGGCTGACTAGGAGGGATGGGCTACAAGTAATATATTCAGACAGATGCTTGTCTCCTCTGCATAGACACATGATTTTTACCTAAGGTGTGTATTTAGCTGCTTCTATGCAAGATTTTGTTAATTTAGGGAATTCTCTTTTTTAAAAAACAAATCAAAAAGGTAGTGGAAAGTAGTTGCAGACAGGAAAGTCCAGTGGGGAGCAGGATGTGTTCTCAGCATCTGAAGCTGTAAAGGTGGTGCAGGTGTTTTAAATGTTATTCAGCATTAATCACCTAACCAGCTGTTTACAGAACTGAGGTTTTCAGGCTCCAGTGAGGTCAATGCAAAGACTCCTGTCAGTTGATTTAGGTGGAAGAGAGCAAGCCCTTAGATGAAGAGCTCTCCAGGGCATAGACCAGATCTCCCTGTGTTTTTGACAGTGCCTAATGCACCCTGACCAGGTGTCACAGCCATATAGATACTAAATAATAACAGTAGGTGAATGAGTCATCTGTTATTAGCCATTTACCAAGGAATGTCCTTCTCCTTGTAGTGGTGACCCAATTCCCAAGATTGAATTCACTGAGGAGGAGATCAAGACTTGGGGGACTGTGTACCGAGAGCTTAACAAGCTTTACCCAACTCATGCCTGCAGAGAGTACCTTAAAAACTTGCCCTTGCTCACCAAATACTGTGGGTACAGGGAAGACAATATCCCCCAGCTGGAAGATGTGTCCCGCTTCCTGAAAGGTAACGTGCTAGTCTTACACAAAAAGGCAGTCAGGTCCACTGCAAATCACTCTGCTGTCTTGTGGGCACGAGAAAACATCCTTGGCTGCTTTTGCTTGTATTCTTCCTAATTCTCCCACGTGCCCTCGAGCCAAGGTGGTGCTGTGGCCTTCACCCCAGCTGCAGTGGGAAACGCGGCCGCGTGGCCCCGTCCCACACTGCACTAACGGGCAGTCTCTCCATTCCTTTACAGAGCGCACAGGTTTCACCATTCGCCCCGTTGCTGGATATCTCTCACCCAGGGACTTCTTGGCAGGATTAGCATTCAGAGTTTTCCACTGCACCCAATACGTTAGACACAGCTCGGACCCTCTCTATACACCAGAGCCGTGAGTCGTTTCATCTTGGGGTAGAGTTTGAGAAGGGAGTGAGTTCTGAATCTCACCATCCAGAACTAAGCTGTTTAAAAACTGTTCAGCAACACTAGCAAGAAGACTTATTTTTAAGGTGCTGGAGACTCAGCCTTCACACCAAATATCATGAAGTTTAAGCATGCCAAAGTGCCACCTTCATAAGTACAGGATTTTCAAAAGTACAGCATGATATTGGAGAGCTCTTGTTGATGCCATTGTGTGCAATTTAATATTCAATTCCCTCACAAATGTGGTACTTAGGTCTTAATTTTAGACAGCTTCATTTGAAATTCTGAGTTTCTGTACTTATGTAGAGTCGGTATGACTTTCTCAGTTGCATTCAGCTAAACATGATTGATAGTTTTCTATCTTTTGGATATTAAATAGTTTGATGCAAGACATTGTACCTGTTCAGTGGTGCTGCTTTTTCATTCTGTCAAAAAGGCAGATCATGGGATCTCTTGTTTTGATTCTTTTTCCAGCGACACCTGCCATGAGCTCCTAGGCCACGTCCCTCTTTTGGCTGAACCCAGTTTTGCTCAGTTCTCCCAGGAAATTGGTCTTGCATCACTCGGGGCATCAGATGAGGCTGTCCAAAAACTGGCAACAGTGAGTGTTTGAGTGTCTCAGTGACTGAAATCTTCATGCTTTACTAGGCTGATCCCCACTCCATCAACTAAGTTTGGAGCTTCATGTCAACATAAGCCACGCCAGATGCTAGAACGTTGTGTTCCACTGGCCCTTGACTTTTAGGGCATATAACAATTCTCCAAGCTAGGGGAAAAAAAAAATTAAATTTGGTATGATTGGTATTTTTCTTCACTTGGCTGTCAAGTAGGGGTGCAAATTCTGCTGGTAGATCACTTCTTCCAGATTGAAATTCTATGGTCTGTTTCTTTCAAACAAAATCTTTTTACTTCTGAGTACACAATTCAATGATTTTAAAAGTAAACTAGTTCTTTAACGGGCAGAATGAATTGATAAGGTGTTTTCATTGAATGTGGTGAGTGTGAGCATTGGACAATTTTCGGCCAAGAAATTAAAATAATAGAAATTATTTTATACATAGCAGTTTCTGGATGCTTTGACTAAAGTATTTTAAGGTAAAAATCGAATTTAGATGAAAAATAGTTTTGAAATCTACGAAAGAACTTGTTTGCTGTTTTGTTTGTTTGTTTGTTTTACTTTGACTAAAGTATTTTAAGGTGAAAATCGAATTTAGATGAAAAATAGTTATGAAATCTACAAAAGAACTTGTTTGCTGGTTTGTTTGTTTTTCCCTCCCACCAACTGGTGTAGTTAATGGTAAAATTTGTACTGTCTTCAGTGGGAGCAGAACTAAACCATCTATGAAGATAGCATTCCTCCTCATATAGCTGCAGAAACCCTGAAGTCCAGCAGACTCAACATCTGCAATTTTACAGGCCACTAACCAAATGAGAAACAAACTATAGTGGGCTGATGTTTCCACTCACTCACAGAGATCCTCTATCAATTGTTTCTTTTAAGCTGAAGCTGTCAAGTCATGAGAATGCTTCTCAAAACAGATGTAAATCTCAATGTAAAATCCTGCTGACACTAACAGCTTTTAGCCTAGCTGGGTGGTCTATAATATCAATCTTTCTTATGAGAAATAACCAATCCTGTGGTTCTTTGCCCTTCTGTTCTGGCTTCCCTCCTCTTTAAGTGTCTGAGAGGGATAACCAAGTGATGACTGTCTGATATTTGCAGCTGTTTGATGCTCCCTACAAACAGAAATGCCCCCATGGAGTTCACCACAGCATCTTACCTGAAGGCTGAATTATTTTACTGCCTTCTCTGTTTCAGTGCTACTTCTTCACTGTGGAGTTTGGCTTGTGCAAGCAGGAGGGACAGCTACGAGTGTACGGGGCTGGCTTGCTCTCTTCGATCAGTGAGCTCAAGGTAAGAATATCTACTGCTTAGTTACCTCTTCTCTTTGTTGGCATCTGATTACTGTTGTCACTACTTTGCCCTGTTTTTAATGAAGTGTAATTCTAAAAGTCTTTCTTTTGAAAACTCCTAGATACCTACTAGACTTTAAGAAAATTCACTGTGGCAATAATTACTGGACAGTCTCATTTTGGATATATGCCGAGCAGCTCCATGTCTTTTGCCAGAAGCTTTAGATGACTGGAATTTCTTCACATTAGGTTCCAAGTAACTATTTTCAGAATAAAACTGCTGGTTTATCCGGATTCTGAAAATACTGCTCTTGTTTATGCATGAGCCTGGGATCTGAGGAATCCCTTTTTTGACACTGTCAGAATATGACCTTTTGAGTTATCCTGTTTAAGCTTTAACCACTTTTAATCAATTTTTAACCACATTTTTTATCTGCAGATAAAAATTTTAAGAAGCAATGCACTAAATGTGGTCTCACTTAATCTTTTTTTTTTTTTTTATGCACTGTACCTCATGTCATCTTCCTTGTGGATTCTTTGGGTGGTGATGTTCTTCTGACACACGATAACTCATTGTATGTTACCAGCACTCGCTCTCCGGCAGTGCCAGAGTCAAGCCTTTTGATCCCAAGGTCACCTGCAAGCAAGAATGTCTCATTACAACTTTCCAGGAGGTTTACTTTGTTTCTGAAAGTTTTGAAGAAGCAAAGGAAAAGATGAGGTAGAGATTTTCCCCCCATCTCCTTGTTTTATAAAAGCAGGTTTGATTTTATGCATCTCTCAGCAACAGCACCAAACTTTTTATCACAGTTTTATAATGATTTTTCATGGGATTGGAAAGTATTAGTATTTGCTTGATCTTCCATGTGCTGGGTGGGAAAGATGATGAGCTATGTAAGTTTGAAGTATTTTTAAGTAAATGGTTTAGAATAGTAGTTATTGATACTAACAGCACACAGAGGATGCAATTCTGTTCTAACTCTTTCTCTTTTTTCACTTGGATAGGGAGTTTGCAAAAACCATCAGGCGCCCATTTGGAGTGAAGTACAACCCTTATACCCAAAGTGTGCAGGTCCTGAAGGACACCAGGAGCATTGCCAGCGTGGTGAACGAGCTGCGGCACGAGCTGGACATCGTCAGTGATGCCCTCAGCAAGATGGGCAAGCAGCTGGAACTTTAACACCCTGTCGGCAGGGTGGTGGCTCAGCAGCTCCTTCCCCTGCTGAGTTCTTTCTAGACAAGTAATGTGTTGTGTGCAGAACTCTCTCCTTTACAGATGGAAGAGTGAATGGCCCATAACAATAATAACTTTTTCTTCTCTGTGTAAAGTCCCTTGCAGAATGTATCTCTCCATCCCCCTTGCATAAAAAAGGTCCAGAGTTGCCTTTGAGAAGCTGGTGGGGGAGCAGAGAAATTGCTGGATGGGAGCAAAAGTGTGGCTGTGGATCTGGGCTGAGATCAGATGCTGCAGTGGCTTATGAGGCAATAATGGAATTGTTTGCCACAGGGAAATGTCTGTTTCTGACTCTAGTAGCCTGTAATTCTATAGCATTGCAGGCTTTATAGCATAGAAGCTATAGTAATTGGTGCTTCTGAGTCTCTGCAACTAAATTTTAAACTGGAAAGATTACAGTGCAGTCTGTAATCAGGATGCGAGTAGATGGAGGTTCACCATGATAAAACTGAGAGGTCAAATCTTTGGTTTCAAAGGGATCATTCTCACCCCTGAAAAACTGCAGATCTGATGTTAGTCATACTTCTAGTATAAGGCAAAGATACAGAACTATTGCATGAAATCCTAATTCTGTTTATTTGAAGAGATTTGCTGTCAGAGAGTTGGGATTTTTATTGCTGTCCTTGATACTGCACCTGAGGGAAGACCTTTACATACAGAAAGTACCATTTGCCTTTTTCCTGATTGAATTAATTTAGCAAAAAATATAGCAAGCCATCAAGTACTGACTTAGCACAAAGCCTAAAGCCATTCCAATTTACAATTTAATATTCAAAATAGTTTCATTGGTTTTAAAAACACCAAAGTTTGAAATAACAGCCAAAGTTCACAGTCTAGTGTCCTCTTTGTAAGAGTAAGTAACCTTTTGATTGCTTGGTCACTTTACTGATCTGCAGAAGCTGCAGGAACATATGTTTTGTTTCTTCTTTACTAGGCCTGGACACCTGTATTCCCTATCAATGCAAATAATTCACAGGAATTCTGTGGCCATGAATGCAACAAACTGCCTTGTAGTATAAAATGTATTGAATTCTAGGGAGCACTTTACAAGTGGTGGCAAGCAGTGTCCTGCTGACTTGTCACACATGTATCCCATAGTACCAGACTTCCCCATTTTCAGGGCTCCACAGTTTCATGCATCCTGCATGGCTGTAGAAAGCCCTGCCAACAAAACGTGTACAGGGTATGATACCTTTGAGTGGAAGCTCTGTGACATGCACGGTGATTCTTGAGAGGTAGAGCTTATCAGGATATCCAGCATTTGCAGCAGTGAAGATCACTGGAAAATTGGGCTGAAATCTTCAATATACTGGAGATGCTAGTCCAGAATTTTAAGAGCTTGAAAAGACTTTAATGAACCTCTGTGCTTGAAAATCAGTTTGAGTTTCGTATGCTTTCTAGTAGGCCACATCTGCTCCATACGCAATTGCTGGCCCAATCTTTCTGAGTATAATCATTGTTTAAATCAAGTCTAGATAATTTTTTTTCTGTGGCTGTTAACCCACTATAACATTTTCTTAAAAGAATATTTAAGACAGTATAAATATGGTCTACATATAGACACTTTAAAATAGATTTTAGGAGTTTTGTCTTTTCTGAAGAAACCTTACAAGTGAGTTGTAAGAGAGGATCTATTTTGTCTGCTTCTGTGATAAGTTAATAGCTGCATTTTTAAAACTGTTGGGATTATTGTGTTGCTGAAATACACAGATCTGTGTTACTTCAAGTATTTGTCTGAACTATGTATACATTTCAAGTAGGAAACCTTATACTTCATAAATTAGCACTTACTTTTGAATACTTTGGAAAAATGGCAGTGTTATCTTTATTTGCACTTGTGTAGCAAAAAATTAGGTAAACTGCTAAGAGTAATATAGAAGATGCATTTCCACAGCATTAACAACCTGTATGTTTGGTTTCACGCATCCAAACCTTCTGGCTATGTGGAGTAATAATTTAAATATTTTAAACTATTGTAGCGGCTTTAAATGTCAGTGAAATAAAATGACTTGTTGCTAATTATTAGAAGCAAACTCCCCTTTACTTCAGCAGCGTAGCAATAAACACAAAGCACTCACTTCTGACCAAGAGTTTTTATGTTTTATACTGCAGTTCAGGGGCTCTACGCATGTGACTTAATTCCATTTGGAACCGTATATATTTTTTTGAGGAGTGAATTGTTTTCCCCTCACTTTTTAAAGGCTTAGTCTCTTTTTCTTTCCTGTTAAACGGGTGAGGGTTGAGGTTTCTCAGGAAAGGAGGGTTGAGGAGCTCCCCCGCGCTCCGTGACCTGTGTCGGCGCGGGCGGCACCGGGCGCTGGGGCTTCAGGGGAGTTCCCGCGGCAGCGGGGGCTGGAGCCCGCCCGGGGAGGACA